AAACGTGAGCTAGCCGGCGGGTGTGTGCCGGAAACCTCTCCGATGCCTAAGTCAGTAAGCTTGACAAATAGACAAAGTTTTATGTTCTCAGGAAGAATTGTGTTCAATTACCTCTTCCAAGGTGATGCTTGTGAGCTTTTATAGGTTTCGAGTGGCATAATCTTAATAGGACTTTTATTTCTCTATGCAGAGTCCTCCTAGGATTCATACTCCTAAGGATAATGCTTATCCTTTTACACCCCCCCACTGCTTAAACCAAGTGGGATGATTTTCTCCATGGCCGAACTACCATTTGACCGAAGCAAAACTGGCAATGCTGAGCCACAAAGTGAGCCGAACTATCCTTAGTTCAGCCCCTCCCTTTACTCTTCCTTATATCGGTTTCTCATCTGTTCATCCCAGTGTGTTTGGACCGAACCAACGACTCTCGACCGGTATAACTCTCAGACCGGTACACCTCTAAGGCCGACATAACTTCAAGGCCGGTCAAACTTCAAGTTGCTCCCTGACCGAAGTAACTTTATGATTCCTGAACCGAAGTAAATTTACCTTCCTGGGCCGAAATAACTTTGTTTCTCCTAGGCCGGAGTAACCGTGCTCTCCTGGGCCGGAGTACCAATTACGGCCTTTTTACTTAGCCCTTTGCACTTTGGGCCTCAAAGCCCAATCACGCAGTTCGGCCCAATTCTTCCCAAAAATTACCCTCTCACATAGTGATAATTTTTTAACTTTTTGAATAACTTTTTGACTTTTTATCTTTTTAAGAAGTTGTCAAACTTTACCTAAGTTATCAACAAAAACAAAATGGTTCGTAAATCTTTAAAATCAAAGGCATTTATGAGAAATCCTTAAGAAGGTCCTCAACACATGCAAAGGTAATTTATTTATTAACAAATGTAAGTGTACAGAAGACTAAACAGACACAAACATCTTAAAAAAGGTAAAGCCCACATGATGTCGAACCCATATATAGAACCTATCTTTTATGAAACATATGTATCTTATTTTTTATATTTATAATCTCTGTATTCTTTATTTACATATATACATTGAGCGGGAAAACAGTGCAATATGAGTCAATAGGAATGGGACAACCCAAAAACATACAAAGTGACCAAAATGTCCATCAAAAGACAAAAACACGCATCAATAAGCAATGCTACAATGATCCTTTGTTATTGTTATTTTAATTTTAAGATAAATTATAAATACATCTTTTGAGAATTATTTAAAATATGAATTGCCCTTTGCAGTTATGAAAATTATCGCTTCTTCAAATTTCTAATCACATAACAAATGAATCATTTTATTAATAAATCATTAAATTAATTAACAATTTTTAATGGTATCATAAATATATTTTAATTAACAATAGAAGTAATTTTATTTTTGTTTAAGAGAATAGTTTAAAATTTTATTTTTCTATTAATTTTGCTAAATAAAAAATTCTTACAATGGGATATTTATACTTTCTAAAATTATAAGGAACAATTTATATTTTAAGCAAATCTCAAAGAGTATATTTGTAATTTACACTTTATTTTATTATTTAATATGTCAAGTTGATTGCTAGGATTTTATTACATGTATATATGAATAGTAAAATTTATTACACTAACATCGTGTTAACAAGTAAAATAATAAAAATATGACAAAATTTCAAGAGGGTGTGCTCCCGCGTTCACTCCGTGGAAGTTTCTTTATAGTGCAGATCATTACTGAAGGACTCTGCTTGTTTCTTGTTCATTTCAATTCAATTTTGGCTTATGGGTTTATCCCCGATTTTATTTTGATAATATGATCCCATGAGTTTTTAGAACGTAGATCATTCACCAAAAAAAAATCAATTAATTCAATATTTCTAGCTCATGATTCAATCACATTTGGTGTTCAATAAAATTACCGATAAGTATAATTTTAAAATTCAGGTGTAACCCAAGTGTTAATAACTCGTCATGTTACAAGTTTCAGCGAGATAAAAACTTGACAAATCAGTGTCCAACTTGCTTTGGGAGTAAATAATGACTATCAATGTGAATGGTATCAGATTCGATGTTATTTTGTCAATAACTTCACATCCACCAAATCTTAAGATAGATTGGATAAATTTCCAAACCGTCTGGACCAGGCTGTATGTAAGTGTGCTAGTACTAGTAGTGAGAGCGAGAGAGAGAGAGAGAGAAGTAGTGTGTTCCCAGTATCCTCCAAAGATTGTGTTTGACAGACAGAGAGAGGCAAAGCAGAGAAAGGTGGCAGAATATTAAGCTGGTCCCCTTGTGCATTATTAGCTAAAATTGACCTGACTCCATGCACGCATGCATGAAATCAAGTTTACGTGGGTCACGTTGTAATAATTCCAACAACTTTGGTCCTCCCACCAAATCCTACTTTCGATTTGTTTGAATTTTGTCTTATCCTCCTGTATATTTCCAAAGATTTCAGCTGTTTATTAATTTTTTTTAATTCTAAAATTTTGAATCACAACTATTTAGTGCAATTTCTAGTTTTAATTTAGGAGTACTTTGGCTAGGGCTGATTTTGTCATTTTATAATTGTTATTTTATTTTTGTTTTATTTTTTCATTTTTTTAATAAAAAAAATGATATAATTGTTGGTTAAAAAAACGGTGCATTAATACAACAAAAACACACTTTAGTGACTCTATACCAGTGGTGACATGTTTTTAAAAAATGCCACAAAAATAATATTTGGTGGCACCTCTTAGAAAAATGTTACAGAGCCACAAACATAAAATGCTCTAGTAGCATTTCAATAAAGAAGTACTGCATCATTACAACAATAATGTGATTTAGTAGTACCAATTTTATTACATTTTAAAAAAGAATGACACAAAAAGTTATTTTAATGATATTTATCATCAGATGCCACTAAACTTTAGTAGGAATGGTATTTTTTTAAAAATGTCACTAAATTAGATAGGTGTAAGTATCTTTATATGACATTGAGTGAAAAGTGTCATGGACAAATAATTTTTTATGGCATTTTGTAATATGCCACAAAGCCAAAATCTTTTCAAACTATCTGATGGCAGTTTTTGAAAAAACAAAAAATGCCAATATACTTCCATTTTTTTTTAAATGCACAAATAAAAATAAATAAATAAATTGAACTAAATATAACATGTTTTTTTTAACTCTGCTTGCCACATGTACAAAATTGATCAACGGTCTTATATAAATTAATTGAAAAAATAAAATTTCTAAATTTCTGATATCATCAAAAAGTGGTAATTGACTTGATGATTTATTAATAAAATGAGTCATTTATTATGAAATTAGAAACTTCAGGGACGTGATTTGGTTTTTGTGTCATTTTAGTCCTTATAATTTCAATTAACTTGATTTTAATTCTGAATTTATGGATATTTCTCAATTTATTCCAATTGCTTATAATTGTTAGTATTTTTTAATAAAAAAATATGCATATAAGTAACATATGTCATTTTTTTAGAGGCAAAATCATAAATTTGCTCAACTCGGTGAGTTAATCACAACCAATTCATTGATCATTTTCCGTCAAAAACACTAATGGTATTATCAATTGGACCAAATTGATATAAAATCTAAAATTAAATGTCAAAATTAATTTAATTAAAAGTGTAAGGACCAAAATTGATATTTATCTTTTTTATTTAAAATGTGAACAAACTTATTTAAAAAAAAAATAAATAAATAAATATATTTTTGGTACACCACTACCATTCACCTCATTACCAATTCTCCAACTTTTTCCTTTTATATATATACTAGTGTATGCCCGTGCCTAAAGGCACGGTGGAAATAATGTTGGGATTAATCTTCTCCTGTCCAACTTTTATGTAGTACATGAAAAATTTATTCATAAAATAATTTCACAGAAAAATTGTTCATTTCTTATACCATTACTGTTATACTTACCCAAGCTATCAATCTTTCTTGTTCTAATTGAAGAGGTTGGTCACATTTGAATTTCGGCTAAAATTTAAAAAGAATATAATCTTAGTGATTGCAATATTAACAAACCATCTCTCATGTCAACTATTGAAAGGTAATGTCTAAAAAGAGAAGGCATGGAAAGAAAAATCGTGCATTGCTACTCACCCCCATTGTGCAAAATTAAAGTGTATCAAAACCCAAAATGTAGCAAGAAAAATGTATCAATTAGTTAAATAAAATGTATGATTAGCAATGTCATGAACATATTACACTAAAGTCTTAGTAGTATTAGTTAGTTACAACACTCATTTCACTTTCCTAAGCTTAAGTCTCAGACTCTTCATATTACACTTCTCTCTTGCTAATTACAAAGAAAGAGAAAAATAGAAAGTAAAAATCAACAAACAAAAAAAAAATAGAAGAAACTAAACCTTAATCAACAAAACCACCTCTCTTTGAGCAATCAGCTAACCCTCCAATCAAGCATATATGTCTATGGATTACATCAATCTGAAAACATCAAGCACTAATTGAAAGTTCTAAACACATTATTAGATTTTAGCTCTTAAACACATTATCAAGCACTAATGTTTATAAATGCCTCCTTTCATCATCAAGTACTAATGATTCAGCAAATATATTTAATTCCTAAAATTGAGAATGTCAATCTTTTGGAGACATGGAATTCAGCACATAGGTAGATAACTTTTCAACATGCAATTTGTCTCAAACCATTTTATTCATTTATCTCCACTTTTTGCCTCCCTCTATCTCTACTCTCCCTCATCCCACACCCCATGGAATTCAACACATAGGTAGATAACTTTTCAAGATGCAATTTGTCCCAAACCATTTTATTCATTTATCTCCACTTTTTGCCTCCCTCTATCTCTACTCTCCCTCATCCCACACCCACACACACACACACCATCTCTATTTTTTAATCTATGTAGCAAATATTTATGCACCCGCTTTTTCTTTGATGACCTTCATGGATATCTTTGGCACCACAATGGAAGGAGTACCCGTTTCAAAAACCTTCAAATCACAATCTCAAAAGAAAGATTTCATAAACTCACAACTGAGATCCAATTGAGAGCATTCAACCTATTTAGAAATAATGCAAACAAAAAACAAAAAAACTGCCAATTTTTTTGGTCTTTCCCAAAAACAATAAATAATAATAAAAATAAGTAGCGAAGAGAATATTATCCAAAAAATAGATAAATTCATAAACTCAGCACAGTCAAGCAAAGGGAAACTTTTTCCTCACCCCAGTCAAAAGTTTAGCAAATGAGAACTTTTTCCTCAACCAAAAGTTTGATCATTTGATTAATCTCCCCCTCACCTTCCATTCCCTGTGAATTAATAAACACATCAAACACATCAAATCGAGAAACAATTTATCAAGCATTTGGTGAACATTGTAGTAACAGAAATTATAGTGGTAAAACTAATTATTTTGAACTTCAATTATTGCAAACTATACTGAAATCCTTAGAATGGAATGAATAACAATAAATTTAATTAAAATAACAGGAAATAGGTTGTAATTTATTCCAAGTGACATAAGGAAGTTGGTCTTTGAACTATGGAAATCAAGTAAAAGATTAAATCATCAACTTATAACATCATGAATGTACAAAAAATAAAAAATAGAAGCACAAAAAGGGATGGAATCTTGATTACCTCTATTGATGGGGCCTTTAGAACTATTTTCCTCACCAAATTTTGATGCCTCCGTCACATGTACAAAGCATTAAGAATAAAAACATCAGCCTTACATGAATTGATAATTTCTCTACAACTAATTCCCTGATAAAATAAAAAGTAAAAAAATAAAAGACAAAAAACTACAACAATAAAAGGTGTGTGTGTCCAACACAGATGAAGGAGCTGAAGGGTTTGCAAAATTCAAAAAGAAGATTCATCTTAATTTTATATATAACAACAACAACAACAAAAATAAATAAATCTATAAATAAAACTAACAAAACTCCATTGACTTACGGATATAATGTTAAGGGGATAAAGAGATATGAAAAACTAACAAAAGAGGGAGGGAGAAAGTCAAAAGATGGCATATAGTAATCCTAAAGACCTTAAAAAGGTTGTGTGAACCCTTTTCCAACAATAAAAAACTAAAAAGGAAAGTCAAACATCGATTTTAGCGAATCGAATCGATTCACTTCACGATTCACCGATTTGGTTCACCGATTCACCTACGATTCATGGCTATTTGTGATTTATACAACCTGTTCGTATTGATTACTCACTGAATCAAATCGCAAATCGTATGAAATCAAAACCATAAAGAAACAAACAATTATGCCCCACTTCTCTGCACTCCTCTTTCAGTTATCCATAAAGAAATTGAAGAAAAAAAATTCAATCAACACTACATAAACAAACCTGCTAAATGGTAGCTAAAATGACATATGACAAATAATAGGGAACTAATAATTAGACCAAGCAACCATATGACATAACAAATGTTCTGCAATAAGAAATGAGTACATATGCTTTTATCATTTATCATTTTCAGTAACTCAGAAATGACAATGTTAAATTTTTAAAAAAAATTGTAAACTAAAAACAAATTGAACAATTTTATTCCCAATGAAAGCCAAGCATCCTATTAAAGAATTAGGATACCTTTAAATGGGTTAACATGGTGCAATTGAAACTGGCTATGGATAGTAGCTGCAACAAAACAAAAAAATAAATAAAATATTCCAATAGCTCCAACAATTCAAAATCCTCCCACATAAGCAAAATATGAACCGAATCCCTTTTGGATCCTTTGGTTGCTCATGGGACGCAGCCAACGCACTGCACAGTACAAAAAAAAATTTGGAATAAAAAAAAATAGCGTAAAAATTAGGCCCCATATTGATATTGAAATATTGTGGCACTATTTGGACCCGAAATTGCTTAAGAGCTCTGACACACCACGGTTATGTTAGTAAGAACAACTCCATTTTAAGGGAAAAAAGTGAACTGCTCATCAATTGATGAAGTGAAGAAACAACTCATTTTAAGGGAAAAGAATGCTCATCAATTGTTGAAGATTGTTAAAATATTGATGAAATTGGTTTTACCAAAAATCAATTTGACACGAACCCAAGACATGAAAGAAAGCATACTCCACAAACACAAAAGCAATGAGAGAGAGAGAATATCCAAATGGATTAATTTAACAATAACTAAAGAATGGAATAAAGGAAAGACTTTACTGTGAAAGAGTTTGTTTGGAAAAGAGAAAACTTGATGCTCTCAACCGGTCCTTGATGCTTTGGGGCCTACAACTCGAAAATAAAATTAAAAGCATCAGAGAGAGAAGAGAAAAGGCATGGAAGTTTTTAAAATTTTTAATCTCAGGCCAAACGAAAGTTTCAAATGATCTTAATAAATAAATATAGATTAGAAAGTTTCAATTCTCAGGCCTATGTCATTCCATAAGTTAGAAATATAAGTAAGCACAGCTCCTCATCCCTTGTCCAAAATTTGCCACTGTTTATTATTAAAAATAACAATCCAAACTCCCACTGTTTGTATCACCAATTTTGAATAACCTCTATTTTTGCTAAACCTTATCACCAATTTAAAATTCACTCACTATTTTAACAACAAAAAAGTAGAATTAATATAAGCAGCTTAGCATTAAAATAAACTATTTTCATTGAGGCATTTTTAACCGAACATGGTGTATGCATGAAGACACACATAAAATATAGAACGTCGTAAAGAGACAGATTTTAATTGAGGCAATATAAATGAGAAACAAATCACAAAATAATAAATGAGAAACACAGATCAAACCCCAAATGAGAAAACAAATCACATAAAATTTAAGACACCAAAATGAAAATCCAAATACAATTTTAAGGCATTCTGGAGACCCATTTTAAAAAATATTTAGAGATTTTATCGATTTATCATTTTTCAGTAAACTTAGAAATGACAATATTAAATTAAAAATTCGAACTAAAAATAGATTGAACAATTTTATCCCAATCGGAACCAAGCAATCCTTTAAATACTATACCTTTAATGGCGTTAACATGGTTGCATTAAAATGCTATTGGACAGCATAACCAAAAAACACCAAAGCAATGAGAGAGAGAGAATATCCAAATGGAACTTAATTTAACAATACTAGAATGGGAATTAAAGGAAAGACTTACCTGGAAAAGAGTTGTTGGAAAAGAGACAACTTGCAGCTCTCAACTTGGTACCTGATGACTTTGGGGGCCTACAACTCGAAAAAATAAAATTATAAGCTCAGAGAGAGAGAAAAGAGGCAGTGGAAGTTTTAATTTTTAATCTTCAGGGCAAAAGAAAGTTTTCAAATGTCTTTAATAAGTAAATATAGATTACGAAAGTTTCAATCTCAGGCCTACTGTCCATTCCAAAGATTAGAAAATAATAAGTAAGCAAGCCTCCATCATCCTTGTTCAAAATTATGCCACTGTTTAATTATTAAAAAATAACATCCAACTCCCACTGTTTGTAGCACCAATTTGAATATTAACCTTCTATTTTTGCTTAAACCCTTATCACCAATTTAAAATTCACTCACTATTTTACAACACCCAAAAAGTAGAAAATTATATAAGGCAAGCTAGCATTAAAAATTAAACTATCTTTCATTGAGTGCATTTTTACCGAACATGGTGTATGCATGAAGACACCATAAAATATGAACGGTAAAAGAACAGATTTTTATTGATGAGGCATATAAATGAGAAAAACAAAATCAAAAATATAAATGAGAAACACAAATCAACCCCAAATGAGAAACAAATCAACATAAAATTTAGGACACCCAAGATGAAAATCCAATAAAATTTTTACAGGCATTCTGGAGACCCTTTTAAAACCAAATATTTAGAGATTTTATCTTTATCATTTTTCAATAACTTAGAAATGACAAATATAATTAAAAAAAATTCGTAAACTAAAATAGATTGAACAATTTTATCCCAATGGAAGCCAAGCAATCCTATTAAAACTACCTTTAATAGCCTATGGTTAACATGGTGCATTAAAATGCTATGGACAGCAATTACCACAAAAACACAAAAGCATTGACGAGAGAGAGAATTCCAAATGACTTAATTAACAATACTAAGAATGGGAATAAAGGAAAGAGACTTTACTGGAAAAGAGTTGTTGGAAAGAGAGAAAACTTGCAAGGCTCTCAACCTTGGTCCTTGATGGATTTGGGGTCTACAACTCGAAAAATAAAATTAAAGCATCAGAGAGAGAGAGAAAGAGCAGTGGAAAGTTATAAATTTTTTAATCTCAGGCCAACGAAAGTTCAAATTATTCTAATAAGTAAATATAAGCTTAGAAATTTCATCCTCAGGCCCTATGTCATTCCAGATTAGGAAATATAAGTAAGCAAGCTCCATCTCCCTTGTCCAAAAATTTGCACTGTTAATTATTAACAATAACATTCCAACTCCCACTAGTTTGTATCACCCAATTTGAATATACTCTATTTTTGCTAAACCCTTATCACCAATTTTAAATTCACTCACTATTTTTTAACAACAAAAAAGTAGAATTATATAAGCAGCTAGCATTAAAATTAAACTATTTTTCATTGAGGCATTTTACCGAACATGGTGTATGCATGAAGACACACAATAAAATTTAGCAACGGTAAAGAGACAGATTTTTAATTGAGGCAATATAATGAGGAGAAAGAGATCACAAAATATAAATGAGACACACAATCTAGCGTGATGGCAACACAATACAGGAGGAAGTGCGGAGGAGAACAGACGAGGTTAGATGTGATTGTCTCCCACCATCTCTCACTCAATTTTGATGATTGTGTTTCGGTGAGTGTGTGTAGTGCAGCACTCACCACATAACACAAAGTTTGTTTCATCTTAAGCACCAGCTCTATATTTTACTCGTGTGTCGTTCGGTTGAGTGGCACATAGACTCGCAATGTCTCCGGAGAGGCAGACCCTCAGATTGCAGAGATAGCGTTTTAATTTTTAAGTAGCGATAGCTTGCTGTATTATTATTCAGTGTGTGAGTGTGTGTTATTGTGTGTGAGAATATAGGTGACATCCACTCTCGCGCGCAGGATTTCAAGAGATCGTAGCAGATATTAGGCAAATAATAAAGGTTACACAATTCGATTCATATTGTGGATGGATACGAGTGCAAACAGTGCTGACGCTTGGACTGTTGTATTTTCTAATAATAACAACAGTGGCAATTTGGACAGGGTGATGGAGCTTGCGCTTACTTATTTTTCTAATCTTTGGAATGACATTAGGCCTGAGGATTAGTTGGAATTAGTCTATTCTCAGTAATGTTATTAAGATTTCATTTGGAAACTTTCTTTGGCCTGAGATATTTTAAACTTCCAACTTGGCCTCTTTCTCTTCTCTCTCTGATGGCTCTTTTAATTTTATTTTCGAGTTGTAGGGCCCCAAAGTCCACTCAAGGACCACAGGTTGAGAGGCTGCAAGTTTTTCTCTTTTCCAACAAACTCTTTCGCAGTAGGGTATCTTTCCTTTATTCCCATTCTTAGTATTGTTTAAATTAAGTTCCATTTGATATTCTCTCCCTCTCTCATGCTTTTTGTGTTTTGTGGGTATGCTGTTCCATAGCATTTTAATGCACCATGTTAAACCATTAAAGTTATAGTATTTAATGGATGCTTGGCTTCATTGGGAATAAAATTCTTCATCTATTTTTAGTTTACGATTTTTTTTTACATTTAATATTGTCATTTCTAAGTTATTGAAAATGATAAATGATAAAATCTCTTAAATATTTTTTAAAATGGGTCTCCAGAATGCCTTAAAATTTTTATTTGGATTTTCATTGGGTGTCTAAATTTATGTGATGTTGTTCTTCATTTGGGTTTGATTGTGTTTCTCCATTTATATTTTGTGATTTGTTTCATTTATATTGCCTCATTAAAATCTGTTCTCTTACCCGTTCTATATTTTTATGTGTGTCTTCATGCATACACCATGTCGGTAAATGCCTCAATGAAAAAATAGTTTAATTTTTAATGCTAGCTGCTTATATATTCCTACTTTTTTGTTGTTAAAATAGTGAGTGAATTTAAATTGGTGATAAGGTTTTAGCAAAATAGAGGTAATATTCAAATGGTGATACAAACAGTGGGAGTTGGATGTTATTTTTAATAATAACAGTGGCAAATTTTGGACAAGGATGATGGAGCTTGCTTACTTATATTTTCTAATCTTTGGAATGACATAGGCCTGAGATTGAAAACTTTCTAATTCTATATTTACTTATTAAGATCATTTGAAACTTTCGTTTGCCTGAGATTAAAATTTAAAACTTCCACTGCCTCTTTTCTCTCTCTCTCTGATGCTTTTAATTTATTTTTCGAGTTGTAGGCCCCCAAAGTCCATCAAGGACCAAGGTTGAGAGCTGCAAGTTTTCTTTTTCAACAACTCTTTCCAGTAGTCTTTCCTTTATCCCATCTTAGTATTGTTAAATTAAGTTCCATTTGGATATTCTTCTCTCTCTCTCATGCTTTTGGTTTTTGTGGGATGCTGTCCATAGCATTTTAATGCACCATGTTAACCCATTAAAGGTATAGTATTTAATAGGATGCTTGGCTTCCATTGGGAATAAAATTGTCAACTCTATTTTAGTTTACGAATTTTTTTTTAATTTAATATTGTCATTTCTAAGTTACTGAAAATGATAAATGAATAAATTCTCTTAATATTATTTTTTAAAAATGGGTTCTCAGAATGTCACTAAAATTTTTTATTTGGATTTTACATTGGGTGTCTAAATTTTTATGTGATTTGTTTCTCATTTGGGTTGATTGTGTTTCTCATTTATATTTTGTGATTTGTTTCTCATTTATATTGCCTCAATTAAAATCTGTCTCTTTACCGTTCTATATTTATGTGGTGTCTTCATGCATACACCATGTTCGGTAAAATTGCCTCAATGAAAATAGTTTAATTTTTAATGCTAGCTGCTTATATATAATTTCTACTTTTTTGTTGTTAAAATAGTGAGTGAATTTAAATTGGTGATAAGGTTTAGCAAAAATAGAGGTATATTCAAATTGGTGATACAAACAGTGGGAGTTGGATGTTATTTTTAATTAATAAACATGTGGCCAAATTTTGGACAAGGGATGTGGAGCTTGCTTACTTATATTTTCTAATCTTTTAGAATGACATAGCCTGAGATTGAAACTTTCTAATCTTATATTTACTTATTAAGATCATTTGAAACTTTCGTTTGCCTGAGATTAAAAATTTTAAAACTTCCACTGCCTCTTTCTCTCTCTACTCTGATGCTTTTAATTTTTATTTTTCGAGTTGTAGGCCCCCAAAGTCCATCAAGGACCAAGGTTGAGAGCTACAAGTTTTCTCTTTTCCAACAACTCTTTTCCAGTAAGTCTTTCCTTTATTCCCATTCTTAGTATTGTTAAATTAAGTTCCATTTGGATATTCCTCTCTCTCCATGCTTTTGTGTTTTTGTGGTATGCTATGCTTTCTTTTCATGTCTTGGGTTCTGTCAATTGATTTGGTAAACAATTTCATCAATATTTTAACAATGCCTTCAACAATTGATGAGCAGTTCTCTTTTCCCTTAAAATGAGTTGTTTCTTCACTTCATCAATTGATGAGCAGTTCACTTTTTCCCTTAAAATGAGTTGTTTCTTCACTACATAACCGTGGTGTGTCAACCTCTTAAGCAATTTCGGTGTCCAAATAGTGCACAATATCAATATCAATATTGTGGCCTAATTTTTACTTCTATTTTTTTTTTATTCCAAATTTTGTTTTTTGTTGTGGCAGGTGCGTTTGCTGCTTCCCATGAGCAAACCAAATGGATCCAAAGGGTTGTTCATATTTTGCTTATGTGGGAGGATTTGAATTGTTGAGCTATTTGAATATTTTATTTTAATTTTTTGTTTTTTTGCAGCTACTATCCATTAGCATTTCAATGCACCATGTTAACCCATTAAAGGTATCCTAATTCTTTAATAGGATACTGGCTTTTCATTGGGAATATAAATTGTTCAATTTGTTTTAGTTTACAATTTTTTTAAAAATTTAACATTGTCATTTCTGAGTTACTAAAAATGATAAAATGATAAAAGCATATGTACTCATTTCTTATTGCAGAACATTTGTTATGTCATATGGTTGCTTGTTCTAATTATTAGTTCCCTATTATTTGTCATATGTCATTTTAGCTACCATTTTAGCAGGTTTGTTTATGTAGTGTTGATTGAATTTTTTTTCTTCAATTTCTTTATGGATAACTGAAAGAGGAGTGCAGAGAAGTGGGGCATAATTGTTTGTTTCTTTATGGTTTTGATTTCAATACGATTTGCGATTTGATTCAGTGAGTAATCCAATACGAACAGGTTGTATAAATCACAAATAGCCATGATCGTAGGTGAATCGGTGAACCAAATCGGTGAATCGTGAAGTGAATCGATTCGATTCGCTAAAATCGATGTTTGACTTTCCTTTTTAGTTTTTTATTGTTGGAAAAGGGTTTACATAACCTTTTTAAGGTCTTTAGGATTACTATATGCCATCTTTTGACTTTCTCCCTCCCTCTTTTTTTAGTTTTTCACATCTCTTTATCCCCTTAACATTATATCCGTAAGTCAGTGGAGTTTTGTTAGTTTTATTTATAGATTTATTTATTTTTGTTGTTGTTGTTGTTATATATAAAATTAGATGAATCTTCTTTTTGAATTTTGCAACCCTTCAGCTCCTTCATCTGTGTTGGACACACACACCTTTTATTGTTGTAGTTTTTTGTCTTTTATTTTTTACTTTTTATTTTATCAGGGAATTAGTTGTAGAGAAATTATCAATTCATTTAAGGCTGATGTTTTATATCTTAATGCTTTGTCATGTGATAGAGGCATCAGAATTTGGTGAGGAGAATAGTTCTAAAGGCTCCATCAATAGAGGTAATCAAGATTCCATTCCTTTTTTTGCTTCTATTTTTTATTTTTTGTACATTCATGATGTTATAAGTTTGATGATTTAATCTTTTACTTGATTTCCATAGTTCAAAGACCAACTTCCTTATGTCACTTGGAATAAATTACAACCTATTTCCTATTATTTTAATTAAATTTATTGTTATTCATTCCATTGCTAAGGATTTCAGTATAGTTTGCAATAATTGAAGTTCAAAATAATTAGTTTTACCACTATAATTTCTGCTACTGATTAATCAAATGATCAAACTTTTGATTGAGGAAAAAGTTCTCATTTTGCTAAACTTTTTGACTGGGGTGAGGAAAAAGTGTCCCTTTGCTTGACTGTGTTGAGTTTTATGAATTTATCTATTTTTGGATAATATTCTCTTTGCTACTTATTTTTATTATTATTTATTGTTTTTGGGAAGACCAAAAAATTGGTAGTTTTTTTGTTTTTTGTTTGCATTATTTCTAAATAGGTTGAATGCTCTCAATTGGATCTCAGTTGTGAGTTTATGAAATCTTTCTTTTGAGATTGTGGTTTGAAGATTTTTGAAA